ATTTTGTATTATGTTGATTTTATACCCATAATCCCCAATCAAGATTGAAATAGTGCAAAAACGGCTTGAACAAAAAATTTTTTTTTGATAAAAATATTCATAACAGTCTGTTTATTGATATCCAAATGTTTGTTTTACAAAAGTGCAAGTGGAAACATCATGTTACAATAGGACACATAAGGCGAACTGGATGATTTTTACTATAAAATGTTACAAATGCGCCCTGCCAATCACTAATTAAAATTCACTCATTCTTAAAAGAATCACGAATTAATGTGTACACATCGATCAATTAATAAACTTTTGATAAAATGTCTTTTTTAAATAAAAGAAAAGGAAGAAAAACAAACGAAGAAGAAATAGCAAGGATTTCTGGGTAAGTGTTTTAAGGGTGGTGGTTATTGCCACTCATCATTACTCTAGTTAGTTATAAAAAGAATGGTAAATATATTGAAAAATTTCTAATAAAATAAATTTTACCTTTTATACCTGTGATCAGAAGATGGTTAGGTACTGACAAAGAGATTGAAAAAGAAGAATTGGGATTAGAGTTGGTAGGAGTTAGTTTTCTCAAATATCTTTATGATTAATAATGCCCTTACAATTAATGATAAGGAAATATAATCATGTGATTCTTCTCAAAACATTTGAATGTTCTTTTCTAACAAAAAGTTAAAAAGCGTCTGCATCCTAAGAATATTAGTAATAACAAAGAGAATAATTTAAAAAAGGTAATTTTGGCTTTTGAAACAAATCAATATTTCATACCACACACAATAAATGAAATTTTTTTATATAAAATAGCACAAAGCCACAAACAATTCAAAACAATCTGAAAAATCCAATATTCAAAAGTATTCTAAAGCAGGGTTGGCAAATTGACTGGTCCATTGAGAACAAATGGATTTTGGACTGGTCCATTGTCATTTAGTAAAATACTAAATATGGTTAAAGTGTTACACTAATGGACCCAATAGACCACCAATAGATCATCAATGGGCCACACATTTGCTAACCCTGTTCTAAAGTCATAGCTGGAGTTAATGCCATAAGAACAAATGATAAAGCTGCTTATACTAAGTATGTACTTGATTTTGCACATCTATCTACCTACCCATATATCTTGTTTTTACTGATTGTCATGCCTCTATAGTCCACTCTGGTGGGGTGTTGTTGATCTGAGAGAGGAGAAAGTAGCAACATCTCCAGATCTTCCTCGTGCAAAACATTTCCTTTCAGAAATTGAAGTAAATCAGCTTCGACAACTGGCTACTGATATTGTCAAAGAAGAATTCTGCATCAACTCATCAGCTGTGATACTTCTGGATGCACTTTTGGCATCACAAACAATTGGTCTCAAGACCTTGGCCAAAGAAAATGGAGCTCATGGGGTTGCAGGAGTTCGTGATATACAGTCAAAGCCCATTATAGTGGATCTCATTATAGTGGACACATAATAAAATCTCATTATAGTGGACCTTTTTTGTTTCCAATGCTAATTAATTTCGCTCGATATAGTATAAAATTTTGTTATAGTGGAAAAAAGGAGAAAAATTACATATGGAACCAAGGGTCCACTATAACAAGCTTTGACTGTACTTGAGAAGGAACATGTATCAAAGGACTTTGATGCATATGATGATGATACAATATATATTGGAAAGTGTTTGTCTGCAGCATAGGTTCCTCTTGTATTATCATAATCATATGCTTCTAAACTATATATATTTCAATTACTTTGTTGTCTTGTGTGATATATAATTGTTGCAATTTAGGGATGAATGGGTTTGCTGTTATAATGGCACATCTGATTCAGAACGGACAGTGGACATGCACTTTGTGGGACCATTCTCAAAAACACCTGACACTATGTTTTTATAGTAAGAAAAAAATTTTTTTTTGTTTTTTTCTATCATTTATTCTACCAGTAAATTTAATTATAACAATGGTAATTTACCATATAGTGGAGAAAATCAATCAGAGGCTGATAGAGAGGAGAAATCAGCATGTGTCAATTCAGCATGCACTGGGAAGCTATGCGACTATTTATTTTTGGTAACAGCTGTTCAATCTTTTACATTGCATGGAAGTGTTAAATGCAAATACTTGATTTAATTTTTAACTACAATTTATTTACAGAGCAATAATAATTGAGAAATTGGGATTGGTGAAAATAGTGGTCCTAAAAAAAAAGATCATCATGACAAGTCCAAATCTAATTTTGTTGATCTAATAAAAGTGTCCCGTTCACAACATATCAAATCTCAAACATCATGCATTGAAATAAGTGGTTGTAATCCCCTACCACCAACACTACTTGAGTATTTTGCCTTGATAACAATACCATTCTTTCAAATTGTTGGTTTTCAGGTCTGATTCTATTTATTAATACAAGTAAATGGTGACATTTATGCAATATGGGAATGGTCATCAGAAAGTTTTCCAAAAAAAGATTTGGATGTTGAAAATGTTAGCTTCTTGTGCAAAAGCTTTTTGACATATAGGGTAAGTTCTTGTTTATTTAAATTCTTTGGTTTTTTTAATAATGTCCTAATTCAAGATTCTATAGAACCTCTTAAATCGCACGAGTAGGATGTGTGAGATTGCTACCAAAAAAGCCAGAAGCTTTAGAGAATTAATGCCAGATCTGACAAACATAGATACCATTAGGTTACCACGAGCTTCAATAGTACCTGTCAAGACACCAATGAAGAGAGGTATATAGTAGCACCATATCATCATATATACACTTACAATCTTCATCATGCAAAAAAGAACTTTTTTTTTTTAAATATATGAGGTTGTTGATAGAGTTTTTTATTTAAGATATGGATTTTTTTTAATTTTTAAATTTTTTTTTTTTAAATTTATGTTTCTTTCTACAAAATTTTAAATTTCTGCTACTTTATTAATTCTATTAAGTTCCAAAGACTTCTATTTCAATATTATTATTTTTTATTGCTATCACATAAAGGATGATTTTTTTATTTTAAAATTTTTTTCTCAAATAAAAGACTTCTGATTAATAAAATCATTGGTCTCTTTAAAGCAATAAAAGTGAAATTTCTTGATTTAATTAATTTAAATGACAATTGATTAATTAAATCATTGGTTTGGTTTAGAACAAAATCCTCTTGAAGAAACAAAGTAATTTTCTTGTGAATCTGCTTTTAAGAACCTGTAATTCCCTGTGACATAAATATAAATGTTCAATTTGTTGGGTTTTGTTGCAGTATGCCCATATATATTTTTCAGGGTCAATGGTGACCAACAAATTAATCATATATTTTCAAGGCCAAAACTATTCTATATTAATAATATATTTTAAAGATCAATTATGATCTGAAATTCTCAATATATTTTCAAGACCAATAATGACCCTGAATTTCTCTATATTAAAGGTCAAATGTGACCCTGAAACTCTCTATAAATATCATTATCTACACTGTCATTATCTACATTGCCATTATCTACACTGCCATTATTTACAACATTATTACTCTATAAAAACTGAATTAAATAAAAATAAAATATGATATAAATGTTTTATATACATGTAGTATACAGTAAAATAAAATTAATAATTACATGATTATTGCCATGGTTATTATTAACATTGTTATTCTATAAAAGTTGAATTTTAAATAAATTAATATAAGATAAATATTTATACTGTATACACATACTATACAGTAAATAATAATTACATCATGATTATTACTATTGATATTGTTGTTATTATTTAAGTCCTATAAAAATTGAATTTAAAATAAATTAGAACAAGATAAATATTTTATATATACATATACTATATAGTAAAATAAAAATAATAATTACATTGAGACTATTGACATTGCTACTAATGTTGTTGTCATTATTGTTATGCTATAAAAATTGAATTTAAATAAATTAGTATAAGATAAATCTTTTATATGGGGCATACTGTAACAAAATCAGACAAAGTGAACATTGTATTACATAAAATTACAAGCCATATCAACAGTGTTGAAAATTCGGTGTGGGGAATGCGTGGGTGTAACATTACACACCAATCAACCTTTTAATTTTTGGAGATAGTTTCTAAATTTGTACTGGTTACACAACGAAATTTCAACACTGCATATCAACATCACAAATTAGCTTAACCTGCATACAAAATATGATTCTATCTTCTTTTGACATATTATGCAATTATTAACTTATATATCTTTATTATTATATATTTATATTTTAACCTGCAACTTGAAAATTAAAAATATTAATATTAAAATAAATCATTATATATGATTCTTTTTCTTTAAACATATTATGTTAATTATTAATTTTATACATCTTATTATTATAATATATTAATTATTTTAACCTAACAACAAATTATTAGCTGTTAATGCTGTTGATTGATGTTTTAAAAATATTAACCATTTAAAAAAAATTAACTCTAACACATATAGAATATGCAATTCAAAAATTATAATATTAATATTAAAAGTAGATTCTAATACATGATTCAATCTTTCTTCAGCATATTATGCAATTACTCATTTTATACCCACATGTTTTACATGTCACCAAATGCATCAGGAAATTTTTTCTGACGCAAATTTATGTAATATTATGGGGCCACCATAAACTTATGTAAATAGTGTAATATTATGCAAAAATTGCACAAAAATTATGCAATTATTACATTCAGTGTA